TGTTCACTGCAAGTAAAAAAGGACATTTTTGTTTGGCATACTTTGTTATAATCATGTTAGATGGGCAGGAATAAATTAAGCCACAACAAAAATACGTCTATCAGAAAAACTATGATGCACTATTGTATAAGCATGCTAGTGTTAAACTATGGAGTAAGAATGCTAGCATTGAACTATTGTTTAACCAGCCTAGTGTGAAACAATGATGTAATCATGCATGTTGGTGCAAGTGTCTTTGATGGCCAGTAGAACCATGTGAAGCCATGTTCAAATTTAAAAAAAAAGTCCACAGGAGACAGGATCATAGGTTGTGTTTCTTACAGAGTCGTATGATAAGCGTAGATCTGGATTGTATTATATGATACTTCAACACAGCATTAAGTAAGCCAATCAACATATATTCCTGCTGAAGGAAATACAAAGTAAGACATTTAAGGAAATGAGTGGGTAGCACGGAACATGATGTTGTTCCAGTGCGTGGGAAGTTTTCTGGAATCTTTACCACTTTGTGTATAGATTTGATTAGCTTGCATTTTATGACGATCCTTTTTCAGGGATAATGTTTATTTATTTATTTATTTCCGTAATCTTAACCACTTTATGTAAAGATCTGATAAGCTGACATTTTATGACTATTTGTGAGTTTATTTGTCAGGGATAAAAATATAAATGAAGCCATAAAAACAAATTGTTTTGTTTTACAGCTGAAGAAGATATTTGCTCAAGTAATAATAGCCATGGCTCATCATGGGTACCTGGAATTAGAGGGCGGGCATCAAATGATAGAGTTTATTGTCAAGCAGTGTTCCCTCCCAAACGATCCACCCGTAAGTACAAAAGCATTGTTCCCTCCCCAGTGATTCACCTGTAAGTGCAAGAAAAGTGTTCCCTTCCCAGTAATCCACCCATGAGTACAAAAGCTATGTTCCCTTCCCAATGATCCACCAGTATGTACAAAAGCAGTGTAGCCTCCCCAACAATCCACATGTAAGTACAAAGTCAATGTTCTATCTGTTAGTACAAAAACAGTGTTCCATCCACAGCCATCTACCTATAAGTGCAAGAAAAGTGTTTCATCCCCAATGATTAATTGCTACTAAAAAAGCAGTCACTGTGTTCTATGTCCCATAATCCTACCTATAAGAACAAAGCAAGCATTTACCTGACTCAAAATGTGTGACATATTATTTTGTTTGTCATAAATCAAGTTAAACATTAACCTGACCCAAAAAAGAAGTGATATTACATGCACTTCATTTGTTTTCAATTAGGGCAAGCGTTCACCTGACCCAGAATATGTGAGTAACCAAGCACTGCGACTAATGTGTGACAATGTTCTACAACTCTTGGCTACCACTGTAGAGGAAATGGAACCGGTAAGCTAAATGATCACCTAAGGCACTGTGTTATGGAGCAGAATCTCCTGTAGGGTGTATAGAACGGATTTATTGAACAGTGACCCGTAGTAGGGTAAACAATCTCACGCAGTGTGAAACACATTAAAATTACATTTATTCACCCATAAATAAATCTTAAGGTAAATTTACAAACTCATTTTTTATGTGATAATTTCTTTTATTTCTGACTCTTATGCTACTTTTGTAATTATGAAAAAAAAAATTACGAAACACTTTTTGGTAATTTCCTAGTATGAATCTCAGCTGTTTTGGAGGTCAAAGATTCAGAAATGTATCTTAGAAATAAGTATCCACTTTTCAAAAATAACATGTATTTTAAGAAATTAACTTAAATTGGTCAAACAAGTACTTGTACTTGCCTCTAAGTAATCCATTGTTTGAACGTGTAGGTATTATGGCCCTTCTTACTGGAGATGATTGAGCCCGAACAGTACACAGAGGCAGGCTGTGTGGTCTGTAAATGTCTGGCCCACCTCGCCAACAAGAAACGGGAGGAGAAGGCCGAGGATTACAATCTGGACTACGACGTCCTGGGTAACAACAGTATCAACTCTCATTCAGTAGACATAATTTCTTGTGAAGTTCTAGAAGGTATAAGTATTTAAATCTTTATTTCTCTTTTTCAGCGAACACCCCGAAACCAAATGTCATGATAGCAAGATTAATGGTTTGTATATAAGTTCTGTATAATTTATAAATATTTCTTTATAATGTTGAAGAAGTATAAATTGTGCATTGTATACATGTAACTGTTATAATATATGAGATTTTAATGAGATATATAGAACTCTTCAGTGATTGTTAAATCAACTTAAAAGTAGGATACATTTTAATGCCTATAAGTGCATGATAATTTATGTGGCAGTTTAGAAAATTGACTTTTATTCTTTATGTGTTAAAAAACATTATGACAATGTAAATCCTCTTGAATGTCACATTCGTTAATCTTACATACGTGTTTCTTACATACTACGCCTATGAACAGAGAAATGAATTCTATTAAATTATTAAATAATATTTAATTTAGGTTTTAGCTGGTTGTCCCAAAAACAACAGAGATAGGGGGATTCATGTTCTGCAGCTGATGAAGGGAATGTCTCCAAACCTCAATGACAATCTAGTGGAACTCTGGGATACAGTGATTCCTAAACTCACTCAGTATCTAGAGGGTAAGTCTCCAAACCTTCCCAAATCTATAACAGTATCTAGAGGGTTAGTCTCAGAACCTTCCCAAATCTGTAATAGTATCTAGAGTGTATTCTCCAAACCTTCCCAAATCTGTAACAATATCTAGAGGGAAAGTCTCGAAGCCTTCCCAAATCTGTAGCTGTGTCTAGAGGGAAAGTCTACAAAACCTTCCAAAATCTATAACAGTATCTAGAGGCTAAGTATCCAAACCTTCACAAACCTGTAACAGTTTCAAGATGGTAACTATTCAAACTTTGCTGGAATAATATTCTACAAGGATTGTTCGAAAAGTTCGTGGACGATGTAAATTTTGACTGCCCATGAACACTGCCCCCCACAAATTAAAAAAAATATTAGCGAAAATGGAGCAGTACTCTTCAATTGTCATGAAACTTTATATGCTTTTTCGTGTTAAAAGAATAAACTTGATTAAGTTAATAAATAAACTTATAATAAGTAATAAATAATTGTGATGTCAAGGCAAAGTCTAGGGAGTGTGACATGTTTGTCATGTATTTGTTGTGATTGCTTGTTGAAGAAATGAAATTGTCTAATTTACTGGAATTACCACTGATCAATTTAATTTAAATTAATGTGTGATATCAATTAGTGAAAGGAGTATCCTACAGTTGTCATGATTTTGTCTGGATTGCTTGATAATTTTTTTGTTGTTGATATTTGAAATCAATAATCAAATGAAGAAATGAATAAAATGTGATATCAGTTATGAAAATTGGAAGGTGTGGCACACAGATATCGATATGTTTGAATCAATGAAATGACTTTTTCTGGAATATCTAGTAATAAAAAATTATACGACGATTATAGTGAGATATCATTAAAGTGAAGCTGAAGGAATACTGTATAGTTGTCACGAACAGTTTGTCAAAAGAATTTTTAAAAAATCTTGTTTATACTCACGTAACCACTCATTAATTAATGAAGAAATTAATGTAGAGACTATAATATAAGTATAATGAAGATGAACTAGCAATAAAAAAACACGTAGGTGCATTAATGTATGTCACTCTTCAGCTTTTTAGAAAAGTTCACGCAGAACCTCTTACTTCAAAACTGTTTATTCTAATTCAATTTTTATAACATTTTTTAATTCAACGATATTAATTGTTCAACTTTTAATGAAAAAACTGCTAAAAAAAAACACAAAGAAGCAAGATCTATGGGGGACTATTTCTTGCGGTGGAAGGATATTTAGCAGAAAATTATGAAATTCTGCACATTTATTAGATTTAATATCTTGGAACTTTAGCCTCACATACATTTACTCGGAGAATATTTTCCGTTATGATATGCTAGAAATATTCGTTATAGGTCTCAATTCATAATTTTAGAAAATATTTTAAAACTTCTCTCAACAAAATTTGCTGAGAAATGAAGATATGTCAAGAAGTCGAGATAAAATTTTCACTGTTTTTTGCCTGAAAATCACATATTTTGACCAATATTTCAAAATCAACATCACTGACCCCAACTTTTTCTTTCATTATTTTACACTACTCGATACTTGTGACTGATCAGCACATAAGTCGTAAAAAGTTTGATACAAGAAAATATTTTAATGCCTATTTAGATTTTAAATACCCCAAATATGTTACTTTTTCAGTGCAAAAAGGTCACAATAATTTTCGCGCATTTATTTGCAAGATTTGTTCAATGATAAATGTTATTCAAAATATTTTACGTAAAATAAGATTTTATTTATTGCCACAGCTCCATCTGATGAAATATGATAAAGGTTAAAATAATTGATCAAAGAGTTAAAATTTAAATGCAAAAAGGTCAACTTAAAGACGTACAACACACTGGGGGAGATAACTCTTGCGATTTCAATTGAATGTTTGACGTAACGTCAAATTTAACGTCAAAAATAGAGCGCCAAAATGACGAGTAAAACGATCCCGATGTATATCAATCATAAAAGAAAAATGGGATAAGGGGCTTGGCTGTGATTATACGTACCATACTCAATCAATAAGTTTTTTTATTAACCCGATTAAACTCCGTAAAAAGCAAGACATAAAATTCCATCCCCTAATGTTTATTTCATTTCATTTCATATACAATAAATTGTATTCTTGATCAAAGCGCAGCATTTTTTTTTATTCCGAAAATTTTATTTTACATTGCCGAAATTCTCATTATGTACAGTGGCTATATGACATTCCGATTAATGGTCTTGAACTTCTTCATTACAATTTGTGCATTTACGATATACGTGTAGATTTAATTGTTTTTCTTCTTTAATTAAATAAAACAACAATAAAGAAACAAAAAACTTTCACAATGTAAAATTGATGTTGTTCTCAGACCTTTACTGATCAAAGAGGAACAACTCTGAAAATGTAGGAGATGTTTATTTTCCTCCCTTTATTCACGGTTTTCCACAGAATCAGATACATTTACAGCAAGACCTGATAAATCCGAGAATTGAATACTATAGACCTCATATACACAATGTAAGTATAGAATTGAAAAGAATTGTTCACTAGTACTGAAATTATCTGCATTTATGAATATCCTATTGCAGCAAATCGTTTGACTTTCTGTCACTCACACATGTCGGTTCGCATTTCCTCGAATCAAAACAAAACGTAGCCTATAAGATTTTTAAAAATATCAATGTGCGATTTCATATAAATTGAAATAGATGAAGAGTGTAATGTTTGATATTTTGAAGTTAATGTGGACGAATACGGAATTCTCATTTTAACTTTAGAAGCAACGACATTGAAAGAATGCGTGACGGGTGTACATCTATGCAAATGTCGATGTATCTTCACGGCCACATACTGTGATACTGTCTCGTTTGAGAAATAATGACATGAAAGAAACTACAATTATTCCATTTACATCACAGGAGAGTTGAACATACACCATTTCTTTTATAGATAAAATTAAAGAAATCATTTTAAAAATCAACATATTATTCAAGTTCAACATAACTTAAATTCCTATCCAGGTTTCATGTGTTAGGAATGCATAACGCATACATGTATATGGACGAAACACTAAAATCCTTCAATAATTTTTTCCTGGTACATATAAAAACAGTAGTCAATATTTATTCTGCATTCATGAATTTAAAAACTAATGCATACCTCTGGGATTCAAATGTCGAAATACTAGTATATAAATTTGCACTGTAAACGACGTTTCGTCAAACGCTAATGGTCTGCGACGCAAAAAAAGGAAGGGGTGGGGGTGGTAGGGGTATTCAAAAATTGCCTTAAAATCTACATTTAAATACGCTTTACATATGAGTACTTTTAAATTTGTAAGTTAATATATTTTTGAAGCAAAAGCAATATTCCAATTTGATTTTTAGCTCTACTGGTCAGAGACCAGAAGAGCTTATGCGATAGTAATGCGTCCGTCCGTCTGTCTGTCTGTCTGTCTGTCCGTCTGTCTGTAAACAATTTTTCAAAACGCTACTCCTCCTACAATTTTAGTCTGATTTCAATATTACTTGGCACACAAGTAGACTACACTAAGATACATAGAATAGTGCATCGGTTCTTAATTTCGATGAACAGTGTTGCCATGGTTACTGAAAATAGAATTTTCTGTGAAATTCCTTAAAAACGCTACTCCTTCTACAGTTTTGGTCTGATTTCAATATAACTTGGCACACAAGTAGACTACACTAAGATACATAGAATAGTGCATCGGTTTTTGATTTCGATGAACGGTGTTGCCGTGGTTACTAAAAATAGAATTTTCCGTGAAATTCCTTTAAAATGCTACTCCTTCTACAGTTTTGGTCTGATTTCAATATAACTTGGCACACAAGTAGACTACACTAAGATACATAGAATAGTGCAATGGTTTTTAATTTCAATGAGCGGTGTTGCCATGGTTACTAAAAATAGAATTTTCTGTGAAATTCCTTTAAAACGCTACTCCTTCTACAGTTTTGGTCTGATTTCAATATAACTTGGCACACAAGTAGACTACACTAAGATACATAGAATAGTGCATCGGTTTTTGATTTCAATTAACCATGTTGCCATGGTTACTAAAAATGGAAATTTACGTGAAATTCCTTAAAAACGCTACTCCTTCTACAGTTTTGGTCTGATTTCAATATAACTTGGTACACAAGTAGACTACACTAAGATACATAGAATAGTGCATCGGTTTTTGATTTCGGTGAACGGTGTTGCCATGGTTACTGAAAATAGAATTTTCTGTGGAATTCCTTTAAAACACTACTCCTTCTACATTTTGGTCTGATTTCAATATAACTTAGCACACAAGTAGTCTACGCTAAGATACATAGAATAGTGCATCGGTTTTTGATTTCGATGAAAGGTGTTGCCATGGTTACTAAAAATAGAATTTTCTGTGAAATTCCTTTAAAACGCTACTCCTTCTACAGTTTTGGTCTGATTTCAATATAACTTGGCACACAAGTAGACTACACTAAGATACATAGAATAGTGCATCGGTTTTTGATTTCGATGAACGGTGTTGCCATGGTTACTAAAAATAGAATTTTTTGTGAAATTCCTTTAAAACGCTACTCCTTCTACAGTTTTGGTCTGATTTCAATATAACTTGGCACACAAGTAGACTACACTAAGATACATAGAATAGTGCATCGGTTTTTGATTTCAATGAACGGTGTTACCATGGTTACTAAAAATAGAATTTTCTGTGAAATTCCTTAAAAACGCTACTCCTTCTACAGTTTTGGTCTGATTTCAATATAACTTGGTACACAAGTAGACTACACTAAGATACATAGAATAGTGCATCGGTTTTTGATTTCGGTGAACGGTGTTGCCATGGTTACTGAAAATAGAATTTTCTGTGGAATTCCTTTAAAACACTACTCCTTCTACATTTTGGTCTGATTTCAATATAACTTAGCACACAAGTAGTCTACGCTAAGATACATAGAATAGTGCATCGGTTTTTGATTTCGATGAAAGGTGTTGCCATGGTTACTAAAAATAGAATTTTCTGTGAAATTCCTTTAAAACGCTACTCCTTCTACAGTTTTGGTCTGATTTCAATATAACTTGGCACACAAGTAGACTACACTAAGATACATAGAATAGTGCATCGGTTTTTGATTTCGATGAACGGTGTTGCCATGGTTACTAAAAATAGAATTTTTTGTGAAATTCCTTTAAAACGCTACTCCTTCTACAGTTTTGGTCTGATTTCAATATAACTTGGCACACAAGTAGACTACACTAAAATACGTAGAATAGTTCATCGGTTTTTGATTTTGATGAGTGGTGTTACCATGGTTACTAAAAATAGAATTTTCTGTGAAATTCCTTTAAAATGCTACTCCTTCTACAGTTTTAGTTTGATTTCAAAATAAGTTGGCACACAAGTAGACTACACAAAGATACATAAAATAGTGCAATGGTTTTTGATAAGTACAAACCAGTAGAGTTACAGTCTCGACAGAGACTTCTGGTTTTAAAATGTGTATTTGTAGATTCCTAGCAAAGTGATCGACCCCCGTCTGAAAGACGCCCGGAAACGTGATTTCTTTAAAAAGGGGAGGGGTTAATTTTCCGCTATTGAATAAAACTGGTCGTACAAAAATTATCCAAAAAATTATGAAGATTATTTATACTATCAGCTACCTAAAGAAAGTTTTTTACCAAAATTAAACAACAGGTTTTTTCACAAAAAAATTTTGAATTTCAAAAATACACAATTTTCAAGGCTTAAATAATTCATAGTTTTTCAGTTTAAGGTCTTTAAAAATTGTTTTGATGATATGTATATCAAAAAGATGACTATGTTGTAGTGTTAAATGGTTAAAGGAATAAGTCAATGAAATTTGACATTTATATCTAACCCGGCTTTTTTGAAAATTCAGGTTTAAGTAGTTCATTGATTAAAAATTTTCTCTCCTGGTAAACAACTAAAGGGGGGTAACTTTTAGAAGTTCCTGTCCAAAAACCACTCGAACGATTTTGTCCAAAATGTGCACACATGCAGAAGATATAGTCATGTCCTAAATATACAAAAATAACGAAATTAAACAACAGGAATTTTTTTGGGTAGGTGTGTTGTACATCCTTAATTGTACCGTAGCTCAGTAAGATGCACAGTGACCCCCCTATTTTCTCTACGATTTTTAGTCATACTATATGAGCACTTATCCAAAATATACTTCTCAAAAAATCCTTGATTTAACAAATGTCACGAGTGACATACCTTAAATGAATATTTATTAAGGTGACCAAAATTCTTACTAAGTGTTCATTTGAGGAATGTTTTTAATTAGGGCCCCGCAAGGATTTGCGGGTGCCCTATAGTAATCACTCTGTCTGTCTGTCTGTCTGTCCGTCTGTCATTCTTCCGTCCACAAATTTTCTGTTTTTTCCTAATAACTTTTTTTATTGTAGTCCAATTTAGTTCAAATTTGGTATGTTAGTTCAGTAGGCAAAAAGGCATATTTTGATGCTAAGTTTGTTTTTCTATGTCCTCTGGTTTGGAGCTGGGTGGTGGGGTAGATTCCTTAACTTTATATAAGAATGAATTGGCAAAGAGAGATAACTTCTGAAAATGTTCCCATTGTAAACTGAATACTGCAGTGAATGGGTCCCTTGGGATTAATTAGCTTTCCTCCTGAAGAAAATCCAAAGCATTATCTTTATCTGTCACATTGAGATTAATTACCACCTCTGTCTGCAAATGAAGTTTGTTTTCAAGTTAAGTCCATTTGGAATGCTATGAACACTCTGAAATGTGGATTGAAGTATAAATGTTTTTACTTTATTTTTGTTGAAATACCCTACTTTATTTATTTTTTTATTTATTTATTTATTTTTTTTTTTTTGGCTTCATGAAAATTCAAGAATATTATTAATTTTTAAAGCAGTAGGATAAAAACCTCATTCTATCATTACTGAAAAGTTCTTATTATGAATTAAGAATAAAATGATGAGAGAGAAGTACAATTAATCCCTTGGGATTTAGTCTGCTGCAGAAATCTTTATCTGTCACTTTAAGATTAATGAAAACCTTTGTCTGCAACTGCTGTTTGTTTTGAAGTTAATAAGGTCATGCCTTCATGATATATATTTGCATTCATTGAAGGCTGGCATTTTATATAACACAAGCTCCATTATTGTTTAGATATACATTCGGTGTTGAGTTGTTCTTTACTGCCTTATGTAAAATAAATACAATGATATTATTTACAAGTTTTTGGATATTCAGGAGTTATCTTGAAATTTTAAGAATACAGTTGCTGTTTCTCATTCGTCATATATTTTTTAATCATTCCATAAGCTGCACCCTTATAATTCTACCCCATGGCGGGGCCCTTGCTGACTGGTCAGTTATCTAGTTTTAGTGTGAATTATTGGTGTGTGAATCACACAGACTTGTCACGTAGGCATTTTCATGGAGTGCGCTAACGCTTCATGAAAAATATGCCTACGTGCAAGTCTGTGTGATTCACACACCAATAATTCACACTAAAATTAAAAACATTCCTTATTAGCTCACCTGAGCTATCCTTGGGTGAAGGGGATTCAAGTTTATTCAAATGAAGGGCCACGCCCTCATTCAAGGGGAGGTAATTGGAAATAAATGAAAATTTAGTGGCATATTTTAAAAATCTTCTTCTCAAGAACCACTGTGCCAGGAAAGATGAAACTTATGGAGAAACATCCTCAGGTAGTGTAGATTCAAGTTTGTTCAAATCATGACCCCCGGGGATAGGGCGGGGCCAAAATGGCTGACCAAAGTTTTACATAGAAATATACAGGAAAATTCTTTAAAAATCTTCTTCTCAAGAATGACAAAGCCATAATTCATCATATTTATATGGAAGCATGCTCAGGTAGTGTGGATTCAAGTTTGTTCAAATCATGACCCCCGGGGGTAGGGCAGGGCCAAAATGGCCGACCAAAGTTTTACATAGAAATATATAGGAAAATTCTTTAAAAATCTTCTTCTCAAGAATGACAAAGCCATAATTCATCATATTTATATGGAAGCATGCTCAGGTAGTGTGGATTCAAGTTTGTTCAAATCATGACCCCCGGGGGTAAGGCGGGGCCAAAATGGCCGACCAAAGTTTTCAAAGATATATATAGGAAAATTCTTTAAAAATCATTTTCTAAAAAATAGCAAATCCATGATTGGTCATGGGACTACTTCTGGATTTAAACTTTACAATAAAAAAACATTTTCTACTTTTTCCTACCCTTAGTGCTCAGGTGAGCGATGTGGCCCATGGGCCTCTTGTATTTACATTTTACATGTTTGGAAGCAACTAAGATATACTTAATATTTGAATTTCTCACTGCCCTACATCGTTGCATTTTTACTAATGTCGCTGCAGTCTCATTGTTACATCACGTTAATGCACGTTTCTTTCTACACGTGAGTATACACGAAAATGGTATTCAAATCAATTTCACTGTTTGCTTAGTAGAAAAACACAGCTAATGTAAATATTTTTATTCTAATATTGATAATGTTTACATTAATTTCTTACCTCTAAGTGACCTTCTGTAAAAAGTCTTCCATGACAACCTGTGTGGTCCATTAACAGTTCAATGTTTTTAATTTTTTTCTTGAATGTGTTAACTATTTGACCTCTTTCTTTGCCAATTGTATTCAAATTTAAAATGAAGTTGGTAAGGGAAAAAAGATGAATGTAAATTAATATGATTTTCTTAATCATTATACATCTGAAACCTAGGGACTAGAAAAAAAAAACTGCTATAAAAAACTTCTTTAAAAAAATTTTTTTTTCTTTTCGCATATATACTCATTTTGAAGGAAATCTGAATGTATGATAAGGAAGAGCTTTACATGTATGCTCTATCCAAAAAAATTATGTTTTTATACATTGATTCCATTTGCAAAGGTTTTCTGTAGAGTGGGGCTAAAATGGTCATATGGATATGAGGAATGGATATGAGGATTGAATGCTACAACATTCAGTTTTTATTTTTATTTTTAGAATATGATGGTGAATCTAAGTGATATCAATACCGTGATCTTTTGTTTATACAGATGATTTATTTACATTCTAGATGCCGGTAAAGAAGACAGCTGGTCACAGAAGAACTGGGAGGATCTAGCACTGAAGGTGAAGATGATAATTCTAGAGTAAACATTTTAACACATTATTTGTAAGAAAAGCTTGTCCTATTCTCCACCGACAGAGAAGATGACCAATTTTTATTTCATTCCCTTATAGTAATTTGATGATTTTTAAATAAAGGACTATCCCCAAATCATGGTGATCTATATATGAAGATGTTTAACTATTAAGCAAGCGTTCTTGAGTTCCACTTGTTTTTATACACTGTAATGAAAGATTGGCTCTGACTGTTTATCCATCTGTCTTTTTAGGTCACCTGAGTCACTCAGGTGACCTATTGCCATCCGTGTTTGTCCGTCGGCGTGTCGTCCGTCGTTCGTCGTCCGTCGTGTGTTAACATTTGAACATTTACAGCTTCTTCTCTGAAACCGCTAAACCAATTTCAACCAAATTTTGTATACAGCATCTGTGGGTGAAGGGGAACAAAAATTGTGAATTTCATGGTCCCTGCCCCCCTGGGGCCTGAGGGGTGGGGCCAAAACCACAAAAATTAATGCAATCTTTAAAATCTTCTTCTTTACTCCTGGACATCAAGCAGTCAAACTGTTTGCATGATTGTAATCAGCAATGAGTCCTCTACCAAAATTGTGAAATTCATGGCCCTGGGGTCAGGGGTTCTAGTGCGAGGGCGGGGCTAAATAAGTAGGTAGTGAAAATGCATTATTTCTTTGAAAATCTTCTTCTCTGCTCCTGGGTATTAAATAAACCAACTAAGTACATAGTTATGATGAGCAAGAGTGCCTCTACCAAAATTGTGAATTTTATGGCCCCAGGGTCAGGGGTTCTGGTGTTAGGGCGGGGCTCTATTGATTATATAGTGAAAATACATGAATTCTTTGAAAATCTTCTCTGCTCCTGGGTATTAAATAAACTAACTAAGTACATAGTTATGATGAGCAAGAGTGCCTCTACCAAAATTGTGAATTTTATGGCCCCAGGGTCAGGGGTTCTTGTTTTAGGGTAGGGCTCTAATGATTATATAGTGAAATGCATGAATTCTTTGAACATCTTATCCTTTGCTCCTGGTTAATATGCTAATGATCTAATTACATATTTAAGGCCAGGATTTATTTTATTTTCAGTTTTATAAACCCTCCGCTCAAGGTTTTGAATTTTCAGAAAAAAATACAACAATTTTTTTTCTTTCCGATGTCAAATTTGAGTCGGGATCGAGATTTCAAATTTACGAACTCGCATCTACATCTACATCTACATCTACATATTACAGCGTTCCATCAACCCTGATGATTATACGCTGGCCCTGCGCAAACGGACCTCTAAATATTAATTATAAAACGTATGTGAAAAAAAGAAAAAAAAACTAAGTGCCATAGAAGGTATAAATAAACCTAGTGCAATGAAAAACAATTTACAAAATTGTGCATGAAAAATGTGTATTTACATAAGAGTTATGGGACATAGCTTGGGACCAGAGTTCTGAACTGGTCCAGAGAGGCCGTTGCCACCACAGCATGTGGGAGAGAATTCCACAAGGTTACTGTATGGGGAAAGAAGCTAAATTTATAATAATCTGTTCGTGTACTGAAGGTCTGAAAGTGAAGAGGACTAGTATTACGTGTAATGGTCGTTGTCTGGGGTACCAAATAAAGGTTTTGATCTATAGCCACTAATTTGTGTGTAATTTTAAATAACATTATAAGTCTACATATATTTCTTCTATTGTCTAATGTTGGCCAATTTAAATGGTGTAACATATCTGAGACACTACTAGTATTGTGGTATCTATGTGTGACATATCTTGCAGCTCGTCTTTGAACATTTTCTAGTTTATCTTTAAGTTTTTTTGTATGAGGTGCCCAAACTGAAGAACAGTATTCGAGGTTAGACCTGACCATTGCTTTATATGCCAAAGATTTTGTTTCTTCATTTTTTATCTGCAAATTTCTTTTTAGAAAACCCAGTATCTTATTTGCCTTAGTAGTTATATTATTAATATGCGGTTCCCAGGACATGTTGTAGGATAATGTTACACCTAAATATTTTGCTGTCTTTATAGATTCTAATGTGTGTCCTTTCAAATTATAGGTATATTTTACTGGTGTGCGAGATCTGGTAATACTGAGTGAATTACATTTTTGAGGATGAAATTGCATTCCCGCTTTTACGATGAAACCGCGGGTAAATAAAGCTAGGTGACAGGTCTGAGAAGATAGCTTGATTTAGTGTAAAATTCATCGATAAGAGTGCCATTCAAAACGTTTCACCCGTTCAAAGGACAAATAAAATGCTGACGACTTTGTTGCACAATGACATGCTGGTGAGATAATTATGTATTCGTTTCAAAAGTATCTGTCTGTAAATTATTTTCCTCCCCCGGGTTTTAAACTGCCCGTGGTAGCTATTGCATATTGCCAGCTACAGTGTTTAGGTCTTTGTTGTAGCTTACAGTATCATTCTTCAGAAAAGGGTTGCTTATGCATCAGATGTAATGAATAAAACTATGGGAGAAGTTAAGTCCGTTTGAGGAAGAAATAAACAATAACCTGAAGAAATAAAAAAAAATCAACAATTAAAAGGCAAGAATATACAAATATATACAGGCATTTAGTATCATATGTATCAGCCAGAAAAATTATTTCACACTTAATTGAAAAAATGTTCACCCTACTCCCCAATACTCCCTGTCTGTTTTATGATAGGAATTATAATTTTAGGCATCAAGTAAATTTTAGAACAGTGTCTACACATTCACCTAACACATATTAACACATATTAAAAAAATGAAGATATATTGAAAGACTTTTAAAAAATTGATTTTTTTAAATATATTTTGATCAACATCACAAAATTTATATAACTGGCCCAAAATGGCAGATGATGAAATAAGCAATTAAATGTTGTACTTTCCTATTTGAAAGCATTATGTTACAATGAAGCGCATTGAAGTGGTAAAAATTTTCCGTTTGAATGGAACGTTTTGAGCTATCTTTAGAACGTTGATTGTCATACAATGACACGCCCATTTCTTTAGAAAGTAAAAATCGGTCAAATGATTCATTGGAATACCTGTAGAACAGGTATTCTAAAAATATAATATCCAATCAAATTGACGGTCTACATAAACACAGAGCACGCACGTGTTCGACCAATACATGTGTTATGGAAACTCCAATAAACATGATATTTTCATAATTATGTACAAATTCGTTGCAATACTTGTTTTATAGAAGGTGGAACTCTCTAAATCTCTCTTATAACTTTAAAAATCTCCATTTCAGTGAAACTCATGTTGCTTTTCGTAAAGAGTGGGGTGTCCTGAAACATTACGAAGAATATTTCCAAAGAAATGGGCGTGTCATTCTGTAATAATTGACGTTCAAAACATGACTCAGAACGTTTCATCCAAACGGAAAATTTTACCACTTCAATGCGCTTCATTGTAGGATAGCATAAAAAAAGAATGTACAAATGTTAATAATTGATTTATCAAAAAAATTTTTTATTTCCTTCTCCTTCGGGACTTTTTTATTCTCATGTTCATAACTAAACCTAAACATAAAAAAATTCTGGCCTTATAATGAAGAAAGGGGCCTCTTTCAAAATAGATAATTTCAGGGCTGCTGGGTCAGGGGTACCAGGGGGGTACTTTGACTAAAAATAAATTAATGCTTTGAAATCTGCCCATTGATAAGCAATGGTGCCTCTTTCAAAATTTGTGAATTTCATGGTTTTTGGATTAAAACACGAACCAAATACAATCGCTGGAAAGTTGTTACATGATACTCAGGTGACCTATAAGGCCCGTGGGCCTCTTGTTGTCTGTAAATAAGTTTATTTGTCCACAAAATGAAATTGAATTGGATGGAGCTTGGGTTTTATTATTTCACATAATGGGTTTTAGATTTTCCAGTGATAAGGTTTTTAGCTCATCTTAGCTGAAAGCTCAAGTGAGTTTTTAGGTCACCTGAGTAAACTCAGGTGACCTATTGCTATCCGTTGTTGTCCGTCGTCGTCTGTCGTGCGCCGTGCGTTAACATTTGAACATTTTCAGCTTCTTCTCTGCAACCACTCAACCAATTTCAACCAATTTTGGCACATAGCATCTATGGATGAAGGGGAACAAAAATTGTGAATTTCATGGTCCCTGCCCCCCTTGGGGCCTGAGGGGTGGGGCCAAAACCACTAAAATAAGTGCAATCTTTAAAAATCTTCTTCTTTACTCCTGGACATCAAGCAGGCAAACTGTTGGCATGAATGTAATGAGCATTGAGTCCTCTACCAAAATTGTGAAATTCATGGCCCCAGGGTAAGGGGTTCTTGTGCTAGGGCGGGGCTATATAGATTATATAGTGAAAATGCATTATTTCTTTGAAAATCTCTGCTCTTGGATATTAAGTAAACTAAGTAAGTACATAGTTATGTTGAGCAAGAGTGCCTCTTCCAAAATTGTGAATTTTATGGCCCCAGGGTCAGGGGTTCTGGTTTTAGGGCGGGGCTCTATTGATCAGATAGTGAAAATGCATGAATTCTTTGAAAATCTTCTTCTCTGCTTCTTGGTATTAAATAATCTAACTAAGTACATAGTTATGATGAGCAAGAGTGCCACTTCCAAAATTGTGATTTTATGGCCCCAGGGTCAGGAGTTCTGGTGTTAGGGCGGGGCTCTATTGATCATATAGTGAAAATGCATGAATTCTTTGAAAATCTTCTTTTCTGCTCCTGGGTATTAAATAAACTAATTAAGTACATAGTTATGTTGAGAAAGAGTGCCTCTTCCAAAATTGTGAATTTTATGGCCCCAGGGTCAGGGGTTCTGGTGTTAGGACGGGGCTCTATTGATTATATAGTGAAAATGCATGAATTCTTTGAAAATCTTCTTTTCTGCTCCTGGGTATTAAATAAACTAACTAAGTACATAGTTATGATGAGCAAGAGTGCCACTTCCAAAATTGTGAATTTTATGGCCCCAGGGTCAGGGGTTCTGGTGTTAGGGCGGGGCTCTATTGATTACATGGTGAAAATGCATGAATTCTTTGAAAATCTTCTTC